AAAAAATGCAAATTTCTCATATTGTTGATTTTTACACACGGAAATTTTTCGCACGCATAGCATTATGAACACACATAAAGAAAGGTCGATTAAATGTGACGAAAGTTAAATCAGCTTTAGTAGCTGATGACGATTTATAAAAAAACAACGCAATAGGAAACAAAATTCAAGAGCATAACTTTGCAAAGCTTGCCCTAACCGTTGATAAAACAAAATAACCTTTTAATTCCAAGAAAAAGGAATTTGTTGAAACCTACGTCCTGTATATTGGCGATGAGCATTGCCAGCTGCCCAAGTTTGATATCACCGCGTGCTGAGTTAAACAACAAATGTGTGTTGGCATAAATAAGATCTTGACCGGTTTTCTTGCATCGTAAAAGTAAAATCTGCCCTAAAATTCTTCTTCCAGTTTCCTACAAAGCTTTGAAATTATCCTGACAAACCTATCTGATCTCTATCCATAGTTGTCCCAGGTCCAACGAAATACTCCACAATCCGATAGCGCAGAACATCAAATCTGGCTTTTCTTACCAGTACGGCGCAGCCGTCATTCATAAGGCCAGTGCGTTTCTTATAGTATGTAGCGTAACCCACTATAACATCAAGCTGAGAACGTGATCAGTGATAATTTTTGGATCAAAATTGGATAAAAAAAGAGGAATAATAGATTAATAATGGAGATAAGGGTTTTGCAAGCACCTTTAGACATGGTAGACCGAAAATGCGACTCATAGTGATCATACTGCACTTCTTGCAACCCATAGATGTCAGCGTTTAAACGTAACAGCTCTTGTTCCAGAATGGGCCAACGATTATCCCATTTCAGCGCGCTGTCATTTCCGCTAAAAAGAGTATTTCAAAGCTAAATATTATAACTTTAAAAAAGGACTTATTACTGATGAAAAAGGAGCTACCTAAAATGTCACCTATAAATGTCAAAAGCAATAGCTGACACACAAATTTCTGTGTATTCGGAAATCAAAGCGACTGAAATCCAGAAAAAACTGACCTCAAATGTTTATATAAGTACATCGTCTTTTGCGTCGTTAAATCACATAATACATTATAGCTGCAAACACGAAATTCGGCATTGCTACTCGATGGTTGGGGAGCTGCCTACACAAAAAATTATAAGAGCATTTATATCAACACTGACATCATAAATTATAATAAAATCAGAGAACCCC